AAGAAGTACTGGGACTTTAGGTGAGAACGCTTCCATATCTCCCTTCTTTCCCGTGTCCCCCACATAAAAGGGATTCCATTTTTTGAAAAGTAACCATCGATTTGGCAAAATATGGTCTAAACTAACCAAAAAAATCTGCTGAGGAACGGTATATTAGTGAAACACTGTATATTTTTGTTTATATAGGGACCGTCGGATGAAATTATTTAATTTACGGACAGACATAATACTAACAAAAACATTTGTTCTTCTTCTTTGCCATTCACAAACAGTTGGACAAGTTGATTATGGCCATTCGCCCATTACCGACGTCCGACGTCGGTTTTCTTATGGTCACAAACGACTTTGACCGATACCAAAAAACGTCCTCACCCCGCTATCATCCGGGCTCATCCGGCCTTTAACCGGCGTGTATGCCGGTAATACTTTTTTAGAACATTCAACAGACACTTCCGAAACGAAAATCACACGATTGAAACCGATGTCAAGCAACGTATTCTGCATCACTTCTACCTCAGATCATATCAATGGAAACCCGGCCAGAGCGACATAACCATAACATAATCGCAATCATAAGCAAAGAATAAAGACGGTCGTAGCACTCTTTAGTCAGTCCTACCAACATGGCATTTTTTATATCAAACATTTATTATATTTTATACTTTGAATGTTATAATTTTGTTTCTTTTTATATAAATTGACTTCTTGCTTTCGTTATTTGCTGCAGTTTTTAAGTTGTTTTTAGATATATCTAAATTAATATCCAGCGTGTTTCAGCTTCCACGATATCGCAACACGCGACCTTCCCTCGCACATAGATTACGTCTTGAACCGCACGTCGCAGTCTTCTTTGTTTTTAATCGGCCATTCGGCCGGAAATACCGTAATCTTCGCGATGGCTGCCGAGCTACCCGAATACAACCGGAAAGTGAAAGTCGCCGCAGCGTACGCCATGTCCGTGATTTTAAGAGGTTACGATTACCCGCTGATGATTTTCACCGCGTCTGCGGTTAAAGTCTTGAAGGTAAACCGGAAACTTGGCATTTTTTCACTACAACGGAACAAATTTTTCTACTGCTTGTTGGTCAACGTCAAATTTTTGGTGTTTTTTGTTAATGAAAATCTACCTTTATAAGCGTGAACCAGTGGTGGGGAAACTTTTTTTAAGACGGGCCATTTGCAATAACTGGCATAGAATAATTGTGCCTGTGTTCCGTGTTCTGTGGTTTTGTACTTAGATAATAGAAAACATGCTGAACAAATGTCATGTGTTTTATTATATTTATCAAAAACAAGTTCGAAGTATTAAATTCCAACTATTAGTAACTCATCAAACATGTATATTATTATTATTATTTTTTAGGGACTTTATAGAATTCTCGGCATAGTAGAGTTTATTCCATACGTGCAGTATTTAAGGCCGTTCCTCAGCATCGCCTGTGCCCATCCCGAATATCGGAAGATCTGCATTGGTGCAGTTTCTATCGTCGGCAGTCAAAAGTCGATGCTCATGGACTTCCAGGTGGGTATCGCACAACTACGGGCGTTTCTTCTTCTTCTTTTCTTCAACCATCAAGATAACCTCAAAATATGTATTGGTTAGATAATAAATACCCAATTAGGTATATACGTAAGGGCGTACAGCGATCCCAAATTATTTTGCCATTCCAGAGTGAAACAATAAAAAAGAGGTGCTATTTGTATTATTTGGACAGACGCTATTAATGAATTAATTCCTTTTAGGCAACTCTGCCCCTGGTGATTTCCCATTCGGGGCTCCGATTGGCTAGTAAACAGATTTTTCATTATCTGGAACTGATTGAAGCAGGTAAAAGCTAAACGCGTGGTAGTTGATGAATAAAAGTGTCATTTCGCTTTGTTTCTGCTACTGACTACGTCACTTTAAACTTAAACTCGCTTTTCTCTTTTAGGTGCCTTTAAAAAATACGATTACGGTCCTAAAAAAAACTCGAAAATTTACGGGCAAACTGACCCACCACATTATAACCTATCGCGGGTTACCATGGCTGTTGCGAGTTTTAGAGCAGTGAGCGACAGTATTTGCACAAAAAAGGTAAGAATGTGATAAGAGAACTCCTCTCCCTGTCCCGTTTGAATACAATAAGAATGAGACCAATTAATGGTTCCTTCACAAGCACGAAGGCGCTTTTTAAATTCTGAAAGTTATTTTTGTTAATGTAATGGATTAATTTTTTGTAATTATTTAAAATTTCTATTCCTTTTTCGCATTTGATGATGTTAGATAAAGATTATGTATGTTTACTAAACGTTTTGAAAATAAATTTCTTTATTTAAAATATCTTGAACACTAAACTCCTATTTTTTGAGAAACTTTAATTACGCAATTTTTCTCCCACTCCTTTTATTTTCCACACACCAAATCCTATACGATAACTTCGGTATTCTTCGGCTTTTTAGGACATCCAGGACGCCATGGATCGCATGCCCAACGTTATTTTCGATTACGTGGTACCTTACGAAAGGTTCACTCATACCGATTTTATTTTCACTAGTAACGCGTCGCGACTAGTGTACGAGCCGACTTACAGGTTGTTTAAATTCTTCGACGAAGGAAAAGTGCCGCCAAGAAGGAAGAAACGCAATTAACTATCGCGTTCCATGGACACGAGAGTACGCTGTATATAAATTAATGAAATTCGTTATTTACTGAAACAAATAAATAAAATGTTATAAATATCGGTTACTTACTTACCCCTGCCGCTCACACCAAAATGTCCCCTTGCCATAATTCTATTATATGTTATACAAAAAATGTCAATGACATATTTTTTTGTTGACCAAAACTTAATCTATTTTAAAGAAACTAGAGGGGATGGAGGCAAAAATTATATACAAAAGTTAATTGGGGTATTACAAACCTTCAATTTATTTTAATGTTGTATATACAGGGTGTTTAATTCCTCGTGTGCGAATATCAACTCTCTTATTTTAAATGAAACACCTAGTGTATTACTGCATTTTTAAATTCTCTACAAAATTTTAGATATATTTTGTGTATAATGTCCTATATCTAAGCCTAAATGTTTTATCTTTTTTTATATCTGCCAATTTCTTCTTTTGTTGTAGACAAAGGACTCGAATAATAATAATAATAAAATTAAATTAAAAAATTACCAAAAAACTTTTTTTTTTTTGTAAATGGAAACTACCTATTTTTATAATCTTGTCATATTTAGCATAAAAAATTAAAGCACTTTATATAATTTATATAATTATAATTATATACAATTTTATATATGATTAATATTTTTACTTTTTCAAATATTTCCTTTTAACCATTTCTCAATCACAAGTAATATGCTGTTGCCACATAAGTTCAGTTAGTGTAAGGTGGCTATGACGGCGTTTGAACAAAACAATTGCTAAAGTGTTTCAGATTTGACGATAATCTTAAAGATCCAAACATTAACATTTTCATTAAAAAAAAAAAAGTTTTTTGTTAGGTTTTTTAATTTCATTTTAGTCTTACTTTTCGCGTACCTTGTATTAATATGTATAAAAATTTCTTATGAAATCCGTTATTCGAGTCCTTTTTCTACAACAAAACTTACTCAAATGAAACAATAAATGCTTCCGAATGAAGATATTTTACGTCTCGTAAAATCGTTTTTCGCATAAAACATTAAAAATGTTAAAAGCGGTTAGACTTAGTTATAGGACATTATACATTCTAGACCTAAATACGTCTACAATTTTACATAGAATTCAAAAATGAAGTAAAGTGTTTCATTTAAAATAAGAAAGTTGATACAAGCCCACGAAAAATGAAACACTCTGTATATACAACATTAAAATAAATTGAAGGTTTGTAATACCCCCATTAACTGTATTTAACTTGTGGCTTATCCCTTATAGTTTCTGAGATAAGGTAGATAAACGACCCGCAATATACATCGAACTCAATAAGCACGTGATTTTCCACCATCATCATAGGTGACACACTATCTACCTGAAAAAGGAGAAAATTTAAAATTAAAATTAACTAATTTTTTTCCCCCAAAGAAAATTATATTTTTAGTTAGTATATATATTTTTTTAAAATGTATGTAAGAACCACCCCCCACCCCCCAAAAACAAAGTATTAATTTTTTAATTTTAATTTTAATTATTGAAAATCTTTATGTTGCCAAAAAATATTGCATGAAAATAGGCCTTTACTGTCAAATTGAAAAGTCATATTTGTTCTAGAAGGAGATCTTACCGATGGAGATTAGCATCTAAGATTACTTTCATGAGAGTACTACCAGGGTCAAATCCAGCCTTTACTTAAAAGGCGAATGTAGGGATTTTTTAATCTGTTTTTTAAATATATAAGATACCAGTCTCCTTCTTTTTCTTATTTTTTATAAAGTGCAGATACATAAAATCTGTCTTTCTCAATACTAAAATATTTTCAGATGACCGTAAGAAGGTATCATCACAAACATCAAAAGAATGTGAGAATGCAATAGCTGCATAGGCTGTTCGAAATAACCTAATAAGTAAGGTCCACTGGTATATCCAATATCCTCACAGTCGGATATGATAACGACATATCAACTAGTATAACTGGATATCCTTAGTATGTCCTAACAAACATCCTACGGACATACGTATCTGATATACTGTGGACGTTCCAATTAGTAACATCATATATCCTTGAGACTCTTAATGATGTCCCTTAGCTGAAACAATATGGTCCTATTATATAGGCTATGTGCCGTCAGATATCCCGAGGACGTTTTACGGACGTCTTTGTGCTATTTGGGCTGATTTTTATTGAATTACCTCTACCACCACCTGAGGCAGGCGAGGCTTATGATGGAGGGGCCCCGCCCTCCCACGGGACATTGCAGGCTTAGGAGGCACCTTTGCTTGCTAGGTATTGGAGACGACCCTTAGTGCAGGTGGTGCTTGGTCGCAGGCGGTACCGATACCAATACCAATACCACCACCTTTCGTGGTTTGACAATACGTCAGAGCCATCAGAAACTTCAAAATCGTACAGTTCCCGCCTCAGCATGGCCACGAAGCAGATGCTTTTCTCCTCCATCGGAGACCAACTCCCAAGCAACACCGACAAGATCACGGTGGTGGGGGTGGGAGACGTGGGCATGGCCACCGCCTTCAGCGTCCTGGCCCAGGTATTCCAGGTAGTAGACTCGCGCAAAACCGAACCCTTCGAATTCCAGGGCATTTCGAGCGACGTGGCCCTCATAGACGTCAACCAGCAGAAAATGGAAGGTGAAATGAAGGACCTCCAGCACGGCTGCATGTTCCTGAACGCGAAAATCAGCGCCGGTCCAGACTACAGCGTCACTGCCAACTCAAAAATATGCATCATAACAGCAGGTACTTCTCGACAGCCCCCTTGCTCGCGTTTGGTAATCGTCAGGTTCAAGGTTTACGTCAGAGGGAGGGCGAATCGAGGCTGAACCTGGTCCAACGCAACACGGAAGTGCTGAAGACGATAGTTCCCAACTTGGTGAAGTACTCGCCAGAGACGGTACTCATCGTTGTGAGCAATCCAGTCGATATACTGACCTGGGTGGCTTGGAAGCTGAGCGGTCTTCCGAAGAGCAAAGTTATAGGCTCCGGCTGCAACCTGGACACTTCCAGGTTTCGGTACTTTATCGGGGAAAGGCTCGGAGTGTCGCCGGAGAGCGTAGACGCTTACATTATCGGCGAACATGGCGACTCTAGTGGTGAGGCCAAAGAACCACAGAATGGTTAAATACAATCGAAACTCTATATAGCGAAATTGAAGGGACTTCAATAAAGAGTTATAGGCACTTGAAAAATAGCAATACGCATAAGTGTTCTATTTATTTTATATACATATTTTAACATGTGCTTAGGAACGTTTTATATAAATATTTAAGAACTACATTTAATGTTTCAAATAATCGATCATTTTCTTTTGAATTTTTTTAGTATGTCAATACGCATCTCGTATTTTGGCTTGTATTTTCACCATTTCTTTGAGAGGGACATCTTCCCCATGATTCACAAAAATTTTCTCTTGCAGCTTAACTGAGTATAGAGCTTGTTGAATGGTTGGTGGTGGTCCCAGATCAACTTCTTTATCTTCTTCTTCCTCTTGGTGCTCTTCCTCACCCTTTCTTGTTTGTTTTAATATGGCTGTAGGCAAATCCTGATCTATCACCATAAAATCTTGCAAATTCTCAAAAGTAATTGTTGTTTAAAACTGCTTTATCCACTCGCTTAGTGGTTGATCATCTTCCAAGTCCTCTTCGCATTTTGTCTCGGTAATAAGTCCTGCACGACGATGGGAGTGTTGAATTGGTTCCGCTGTCACCTCTTTCCAAGGTTTACTAATCAAGTTGACTGCATCTAGAAGATTAATGGAAAATATGTCTTCGGACTCGATCATTTCCATTCAAATGTTTTTCCTGTATTGACTCTTAAGACTTTTTAGTACACTCTGGTCCAGCGACTGTAATACACTTGTTGTTTTGGATGGAAGAAGTGCCAGTTAAATATTCCGTAGATTTGGAATATGGGGATGTGCAGGGCAGTTATCTAAGAGAAGTAATATTTTTCTCCCCTTTAATTCTGCATCCCATGTTCCATGTTTGCCTTGTAAGTGTTCTTAAAACATCGTGGGTTAGTTGATTTCAGAAAGTTCTTCAGAAAGTTTTCCACCCACATACTTCGCTTCAAATTTTAAGAGTTTTATCTGGAGTCATTTTGTAAAAAATACCAGTTTCGTCAGTATTAAAAATGTCGTCAGCAGGGTACTATTCTGCTAGTTTTGGCCACGTCTTCTCCAGCCAATCGTTAGTGACATTTCTGTCGACATCACGGGCTTCGCCACTTATCTGTCCATAATTTATACCATGTCTCTGTTTGAACCGCCCCAACCACCTTTCCGAAGCCGTCAAATCGATAATGCCAAGCTGTTCAGCAAACTTTTCTGCTTTTAGTTTTACGATAGCTCCATAGAGTGGTACATTTTTAACATTGTACATTTGCAACATGGCACGATCCAAATCTTCAAATTTTTCTTTCTTAGTTTTTACTAGAACTGCCTGCCGTTTCAACCTGAATGATTTCTTTTTGCACCTCCAAATCGAGGATACAGTCGACGGTGTAAGTCCGTATCGACGTTCCACATCTCTTTATAGAGAGTCATACAGAGTGGAGTGCATAGCTTTGTATGGAGACCTAATAGTACAAAAAATTTCGTTATAAGGAGTTTTCACTGTAATTGGAAATAAGATTTTTTGAAAATGTACGGGGTGCGTCGGCAATTTGCCAAAGAAAAAAAAATTAATCTTGCAATACTTCTACATAATTATATAGTTTGTTTAGACAGCTATAACTTTTATATTAAACGTTTTTAAACATTGTACAGGGATATTTCGTGTCATAGTATAAAACCTGGTAGATGTCTTAAATTTACGCCTGACTTCAGATTTAAGTAAAAGTTTTTTGATTATTTTTACTTTTACAAAAATACTATTTTCTTTTTCAAAACCATTAGGGAGTAAAACTTTTATTTCAAGCACTTCTCCAGTTATATACAGGGTTTTTCAATTATTAACTAAAATTTTAGCATGTACGGTTTTCACTCAGTCTAGACGAGATGACGTTATTACGAATTAGGGCGTACCGCATAGTATCAGAAAAAAGTTATTTTAAAATTATAAATCCATAATAATATACAATAAGTCTGAACGGTTTTTGCGAATTTAATAAAAAAACAAGTTGTCCTATGAATTACGCTCTTAAAACGTGGCAACGTTGCAGTTGCCGTGTGGTCGTCGGCGACTGTGGGCGGGGTCCGTTTGAGGGACATAAACCCGACCGTAGGAACGGATAGCGACTGCGAAAACTGGAAGGAACTCCATAAGATGGTCGTCGACGCGGCCTACGACGTCATCAAGCTCAAGGGCTTCACCAATTGGGCCATAGGGCTGAGCGCCGCGTCGATCGCCAGGAGTATCCTGAGGAATTCCGATAAAATCCATCCCATATCGACATACGTCAAGGTGGGCCATGGTTTACCCTTATATACGAACTCAGGCGAAGGCGAGGTCATAATGTAAATGCACGTTCAACCGTTAAATCTATGGAGTAATTACTGTCATCTATAATTTTCGCTGTTTAAGATTTAATTTCCAAGGAAACATATATCGCTTGAAACCCTAGGTTTTGTAACGGCTGCCATCTAGCGGCGCCCGCCCGAAAGTGGGAAAAGTTGGTTTCTGCGGTGCGCGATTTCTAAGGGAAGCAGACCTAACATCCCCGAATTCAGTTGAATATTTGAAAGACAGTGCTCGAAATATTTTGCGGTGTAATTTCCCTGGAAACTGGGCATAGTGTTAGGAACGAGTCGATAAACTTTGGAACATTTAATAGAATGTTTGACGAAATCATGGAACCATTTGACGAGTACAGGGGAAAAAAGATGAGGATTCAAAAAACTTAATTCTGAGTAATTGTGATTTTTGTTTAGGAAGACTACTCTAGAACATGGTAAACAAAACTAGGATTTACAAAAAAAACTTGGCAATAAAGATGAAGGTTCATAATCTATTATTGTAATCTTATCAATGTGGTATTGCTGCTCGTTTTGAGAACAGAATTTCTTTAGATGCTGTAGGTGTTGAAATTTAGCTTTAGATGCAGGTATTGGCCCGTCATAAGCTAAAGTTGGAAGCAAAAAACACTCTTCAGGTAGCTAAAGTCTTTTTATTTTTTGTTTTATGACAACATTTTCAAGTTCTCGATCATTCTAACTTTCCCTATCTCATTATCCGAGGGCGATTTTCGGTTACAGTTAATTCTTTGACCGGACCTGAAAGAAAAGTACACTTGGGCGCTAGGAATTTGGCCCAACTCTTACAAATGGACTGATCTCCACAAGCAATAACTTTAAAAGGGATTTGATTTTGTTCGGCAATCCCTTAAAACTGCTTTCCATTGTTGAGGCAGTTCAACATATGTCTTCTGCTTCACAAAACCCATATTTCTATCGAATTCTAGATACACGAACAGGAAAAAGGATTTTGTATGTGTTTTAAGTCTTTTAACAAAATGCACAATATAATTAATGTAACATTGTAAACACATGAATCACAAACTATGGGAAGCTTCTTGACATCAAAATCCAGATGGTTAGAAATGCAATCCCATAGTAGTGAAGAAACATTATCAGCACCCTTTTTTCCTGAAACTTCAGTATAAGTACAGAGGTCATGATAAACATGTAGAACGAAATTTGTCTACTATAATACGTGTCATTAGTCGTAATATTCGGCAGAAGAAGATTTTTTTGAAAATTCATTACAGTAGTTTCCTTCGTTTTATCTTTTTGAGCCTCAAGCCTATCAGCCTTCTTACGTTTATAAAAGGTGTCTACTTTTTTTTAAAGTACTTCTTTTTAAAGTTTCAAGGTTCGCAGTTCTGTGTGTAACTGCAGAGCATTGTGATCATCTGCACTTTGACTATTTTTTTTTCAATGTCGTCAATTTTTACTTTCAATCGACTCATGACATGTACTACATCGCATCGTGTGTATCCAAAAGCAATATTAAACTTGGTGTTGAATATTTCTCTATATTTTTCATACTCAGCTAATCAGGTAAATAAACCTTTGTTGTTTTAGCCAAGCCATAGAGTGACATCTAATGAGCGAATCAGTTACTTCTCTAGACAGTCGGTTAGGTCTTTCCTCATATGGCGATGAACCCTTTGATCTCTATCCGCTTTGTATAGTTTGTAGCCTTTTTGCAGTTAAAAAACCTTTATAGCACACTGAGATTTCACAAAGTTCGTCGAAAATTAATAAAAATCAGCTTCTTCTTCAGATTTCCTGGGACGATGGCGTGTTACAGGTTTGCACGTTATTAAACCACTCAGATAAAGGGATTGTTCATAACTTTTTCTTATTTCGTGTGTAATACAACGTGTGTTGAATCGTGTGCGAATTATGCAAAATATGTGCGAGTCTAGTGAATCTCAGGAGATGCTCCCCCCACTATTCTATTGAGACTAAGGAAGTTATAAACAATGTTTATTTGACTCTCATTGAACGTGGTGCCAGCAAGCAAGCATCTTTTGAAGAAACGGCCACATTGACGACAATTAAAACTTCAACTGTATGGAAAATTTTGAATAATCCCATTTTAGCGAGGAAAAAAGAAGCGACGCTGACATTTTGTCGAGTGTAGATAAAAGTGATCAAGATATAATACGGCGTAAAATTTACCAGTTATACGAGGAACAAAGCGTGCCTAATTAGATATCTTAATTACTTGAAAAAGATGAAACCGGTGTTAAATGTGGCATAACTACCTTATGGAAATGTATTCAACACATGGGTTTTAGAATTAAAAAAATTGACAAAAGGCAAATTTTAATGGAATCTTTTAGGATTCGGAAATGGCGACTGGAATATCTAGAAAAAATTAGGATTTACAGAGAACAACAAACGTCAATTATTTACTTGGATGAAACCTGGTTCGACACTTATGGTACCCCAGAAAAGGGTTGGGTTGACTCAACTGATGAGTGTAAAACAAACGCGCCATCAAAAAGAAGTAAAAGAATAACTATTTTGCATACTGGCTCTAAAGATGGTTGGATTCCAAATGGACTTTTCTGCTAAAAATATTAAAGATTCTTCTCTGGATTAGCATGAAAACACCACCGCTGATTTATTTGACAGTTGGTTTAAAAACAAACTAGTTCCAAACATTCCTCCTATTAGCGTAATTGTAATGGACAATGCAAATTATGACAGTTGACTAAAACGCCTTCCTCATGTGACACACAAGCAACAATCCAAAACTACATGTGTAATAACGATATTTATGTTCACGAAGATTATACCAAAAGGCAATTAATTGAGGTTCTACAAAGCTTGAACCTACAAAAGGAATAGGTCTGTGATAATTATGCAAAAACTCTGAAATCTGCCATTCGTCGTAACAATGTTTTTCCCCGTGTTAGCTCCAATGTCCTCAAACTTATAGAAACCGAAGTTTTTAACATCCCTCCGCAAAGTTGAGCAAATTCTGTTAAACATATAGAAAAAGCAGAACAATCGTTTATCCATATTACAAATAATATAGAACAAATAATAATGAGAACAGGCGATGATAGCGATAGTGATACTGATATATTATGTGAATAATTTTAAGTAATTTAAGTACGTAATAACAATAATTTGTAATTTTATTTTAGATTTAAACATAAATACATACATAAATAAATAAATATTGTTTAGTATCTTTCCTAACAAAACCCCAAATAATAAAATTCTAAGCAAAGTACGGTCATGTTCAGCCATATTTCATTCTTACAGCTTGCCCGGGTCTTTCCTTTCCTTCAGTTAGTCACTTTCTTATATCTATGAACAGATATTACCTTTTTTGCCCACTGCTGTACAATCTAAATTCTGTTTATCTCAGCACTGTCATCTTTCTAGCCATTTCTTATAGGTGAGTAGTATTCTATAGCCCATATATTATACGAAATAACTGTTAGCCTTATTTGGGCAAAAATTGCATCTTTTTCCCCCCTGTACTCTTAATTAATTTTTTTAATTTAAGCTACGGTTGAGTAATGGAAAAGTGAACTTGTACTATTTTTTTTTATATGTCCATTTCTTCTTAAAGCTAATAAATGTCTTTTGTTAACGCAAAAAAAGGAAGGTTACGGACAAATGAAAAAAAAGCAAAATTACGGTTAATTTTCTTATTTTGTCAACTTTGTCAGAAATAATTATAAACAAAGTATTAAATTAATATAAACTTTTATCGCACCATCTTATTTAGTGGGTATACAAGAAATATCCCACAAAACGAAAAATTCGTATGGAGTTATTATTGAAATATTTTTTTAAATTTAATTTAATAGTCTAGTTTATTTGTAAATTAGCTTCAATGAAAGATTCCAACGGCAATCAGTTTTTCGAAGTGTTTAGATTATACCTACCGTAATTATTTTACATTTTCAAAATCTACTTTATATGCCTTAATTCTTTTTTGCAGCTTACCAACTTTAAATTAAAATGGGAACTTTTGTTTAGTAAATTTAAGGATCTTTTATTCAAAATCCAAAAAAATATTGGTTTACCAGCTATAGGCAAGCAACTAAACACTACTTTTTACCGTTTTCAATTCTTTACAACTTTTGAAATTTTTAATGTGCCAGTCCACTTTTTTCGCACTGCTATCTAGACGTAATACCGAATCGAATATGCCAATACATCATTTTACTAATAGTATGTTTAATTAACGTCATTTTAAACTAATTAAAAGTTTTAAATTGCCTAGGGGATTTGCGGGATCGATCACGAAGTGTTTCTGTCACTCCCGGCTACCTTGGGACGTGACGGCGTGTCCCAAGTGACGAATCTGGCGTTGTCCGACGACGAACAGTGTCGCCTGAAGATATCGGCAGCGAATATGGCCGAAATAATGGCCGGGGTCGAGTTTTGAATGCGCGGCGGATGCGGCGGGCCGACTCGTACGTCGGGTTGCGCGCCGATCTGGCTTTGTTTAGGCAAAATAAATATCCATATCCAAACAATGACGTTTTTTAATGATTCGCACGGCATGTGCTTATATTAACAAATAAACAAATTAATAAAACGCGCACGGTCGTTGTAATTACCCCAAACGAAACATGCAATCGAGAATTCTCACGATTCTCTCCCAATCTTGAATCTGTTCGGTCATGCATGAATTAAAAAAAGATTGCATATTGCATATATATTACATACCAAGGCCACTCAATATCCATCCTTCGCGATCCTCTTGAATAATTTGTTACGGTTTACAGGAAATGAAAATGGGACCGCCCGATTGATTTCTAATTGGGGGTCTTAATTCACGTTTTTTAAAGCGTCTCTTCAGACTGTATCGGCTGCATTTTTTTTTCATTTAAATAAAGACCGCGAGAGGTGCCGCACGTTTGGTTGCGTACATTTCGGCCATCTATGGCTTCTTCGGCGAGAGTTTCGTTTTCGTGGCGGATGCGCCGGACAGCGTACTAGCGTTTAACGAATATTGCGGACACGGCCAAAGGCAAATGAATATTTATATCTAAACAATAAGGTTTTTTAATGGTTCGCACGGAAACGGCCTCCGGGGTATCCTTATATTGCAAAATTGCAGATTAATTTAATAAAACGGCCGTGATCCTTGTAATTATTACAAACTCACCGCAAATTGCGCGAGTAGTGGGCGATTGTTGGTGTATCGATTCCCGTGACATCCGGAATCTGTACGGACATTTACCAATTGAAAAAATGAAATTTGCAGGTTTAATACGACCAAAAATATAGTACATTTATTGCTTTGACGTTTTACGTATTTTAGTGTAGACCTTCGCAGGACCGTGCATTAAGTAGGTCTTGCCTGAGATGGACCGTAACGAATATTTGTATAAACATGAAATTTAGGACGGTCCTGGAATGGTTACGGGTAAGGGTCTGCTCGGCATGGTGTTCTGCGGTTTTCGAGTAATGAACAGTAGGAAAAGTTAATCAAGGGGTCGGTTGTAAAAGCACTATGTTTCTGGTCGAAGTATACCAGTTTCTAGCGCCGCATCTGAAAAACGACGTTAGCGATGGCGTTCTGATTTAACTATTTGGCGAGGTTACTAAAATATTCTGCAGTTAAAATTGCTAAAAACGGTGTTCTTACCTACGAATTCGACTTCCCGTTCCTTTTCAATTATTTAATGACTTAATGACGTCTTGAAAATGACGGCTAAATTTTGGTAAATACAAAAAATTGTAGATATGTAGATAGACCCATAATATACACACCCTGTACATAAACCAAAAAATGCCCGAAGTAAGTAGCCATGGATATCCCAGTTTTTCTGGTATATGAATTTTTTCAATTATGGTTTTCGAGAAAATACTTGCTTCGTGAAAGTAACAATACTGTAAAAGTAACAATGCTTTTTGTCCTAGAGGGACGCATTGTTCTTCCATCGTGCTCATGCGGACCACTATGGGAGTTTCGCAAAATTGATGTAATTTTATTGAGCATACACCCAGTATAAAGGGTCTTTCAAGTCTCGCCGAACTTCAAAGATACGACAAAGTTTGGTAAATATTACAATTTTTACAAATAATAGCCATTTTCAATGATACTTTTCCAAATATTTCGCCCACCCTGTACGATAAATAACATAGTCTACGATACTGTTCAAATAAAATTATCCCATCCTTAACGGTTTTTCATTAATTTACTCACAAAAACGGAAATTTTTAGATTTTTTTGCCCATAAACGATACACCATGGGTATAATTCAAACACTGTTCTAAATAGGGGTAATAGCCCTGGATCTCCCATTTCCCCTGGTATATCAATTTTTCCCATAGAGCAAATGGTTTTGGCAAAATAGTTGTTTTCTGAAACTATGTACTATATCGTAATAGTAAATGACGTCATCGCTTCGAGGTTGATGTGCATGTGATGGACGAAAACCGTGAATTCAAAAATTGAAGCTCTTGATGCATTATACAATCCCAATACCAATTGGCCATATTTTTTGGAAATTTTGATTTACCGCCAATAACAACAAAACAATTTTCAGGGTCTTTAAGATTTTTGTCTATACTTGAAAAACCCTGTGCATAATCGAGAAAATGCTTGAAATAGAAGTTACAGTACCCAATCTTCCGCGTCTCCTGGTTCACAAATTTTGCCGATGATCGGGTTAATGGTTTTTCGAGAAATCCATTTCTGTTTTGAACCCAAAATAATAAATACTAGCTTCGATTAAGTCCTATTTCAACAGTTGAAATGTGGTTGTTGACTATGTTGTTGTTTGGCTTCATCCACAAGTTTTAAGGCAAATAATGGCCTCGGGCATGTCTGGTTGCCTACTTCACGATGATTTCATCAGGAATGCGGACAACCTTTAGTACCCAGACATTTGCCCAGCTAAACATGGGTGACTTTATCGCCCGGCGTAAACTTCCTGCACTTCTCTCCTTTCCACACCCGTACGTCGCGCACCTTGCACCACAAAGAAGTGCAACAACGAGTCCCTACTCCGGCGATTGGCGAAACGGTACGACCAAAGTCAGTCGGCAACGGTCGATCGCGATGGGTGCCGCGTTTTGAAAAATCGCGTCGCGAGAAAGTCGAGCTGAACAGCGAGTTTACGCGGTGAAAGGGCTTCGACGGCCCTCACGTACGGTGTGATCACTATGACCGTATCGTACGGTGGAAGAGTACCGAACGGCAGCACTTTCGGCTGCTTCTGGAAGGTGCTGGGGATGTAAGTGCGCTTTGTCTCGCTGCGAAACACCTCAGGCAGCGGTTGCGACCTATTTTCCCGGTATTCGGGGGTTTCTGGGCGACCAAAACGATCGGTCACGTGTCGGTCGAAATACCTTCGTTCTACTTCATTAGGGACTTCAACTAACCATCAAAAAGCTAGTCCATCGGAAAGGGTTTCTTAAAACGTGTCCATTAAATACGGCTTCGCCAGACATAAACGTAAACGTCAATAAAAAGCATCTGGATCGTTATCTAGATTGACACCTAATGAAACGTTTCAATATCTAAACTTAACCGTTCCAGACACCCAGCACTAATTAGAGGTTAATTAATTAATTTATTATTTATTTTATTTATTTATTTACAACAGCAAGCGGTTAACCCGATGAGGCTGAATCCTTGTTAAAAAAACATATAATATATGTATGTATGTAGTGTATCTTCAATAATATCACAGAGAAAGAAAAAGATTTTACTAAAGAGAAAAAGGAAGAAAAAACAGTTATTGATTGTAATGAGTATCTACTCTTATTAAATGGTGCAATTCTCTGTCTAATTTGTTTTTGAAAGAATTAGTACTTGTTGGATGACAGCGAGTGATAGGTATACACCACTCTGTGGCGCAGGAAGTTTTTTCTCTGCAGTGTGGCAGTCTTTTCTTTGGTTAATTTTTTGGAGTGAACTCGTAGAAGGATATTCGGGTTATTTTGAATTGGTGTGGGCTCACTGCAAAATATATTTTTTAATAAAAATGTGAATAGTGCATCTGTTTGGAGGTTACCACACAAAATTGGATCAGGTGTATGACACATGCAGAAAATATAATTGGTACAGGTGGAATCAGCGTCGAAAAATAAACGTTTTTATTTGTCGTCTGTTCTCTGTTCTCTGTCGACGCTCCCACATTTAAGCTTTAGAAGTTGGGCGCAATCAAAGAAATTTTTTTGGGTAATTTTTGCTTCTAGAAAAAAAAAATGTTTTTCTTGGAAACTGTTTGGCCTATCGGCAAAATTCTTGAACCAGGATACGCAGGAGATTCGGGACTATAACTTTTCTTTTGAGCGTTTTTTCGACGAAAATCTAAAATACCCTGGAAATTGTTCTTTCCAAAGTAATTATTAGCCCTAAATCAATGTTTAAAAAAACAAGTATTTTTTCGAAAATATCTTGGACCAGGAAACGTAGGAGATCCAGGGCTATGACCAATATCTCAAACATCGTTTGAATTATATACGGCGTGTGTCGTTTATCTCCGAAAAATGAAACGTTTCCTTTTCATACAGAAATATAATTTGTACAGATCATTTTGATTTATTCAGCTCCTTTTAAACTGCTCACGGGACATATGATCGCATACGTCGCTATGAGGTACGATAAATAATAAAAAATAGGTTCTTCTTTTAAAGTCAGTTTATTTGACATACCAGCCGTATAGACAGCTAAAACTTTTTAATTTAACGCACTGATATTAAATATAGTAGGTTTTTTTTTTCAAAGAATCTTCCTACAGGTTACTGTAATACTTTTTACAAAACTTCTGCATTCCTCCTGCGTCGGTTTTTGCTGAGTCGAACTTGCTGACGTTTCGCCAATCATCCTATATTAATTATATATTGGTGACAGGTAGAGACCTGAGTCGCGGTTAAGATTGTTAGGTTGTTTATAGATTTCTATGAACTCTCGGATTTCCCGTTTTCCGTTTCAAGAATAGGAACTTTGGTAAAGAGGGATTCTACGTCGAAACTGACTAGAAGATTCTAGGTTCTGGTTCTAGAAAAATCTCTCAACATTGGAGAGACCGGACGAAAAAGACAAACAAACTCATCAGCGAAATAAATAAGAACTAAAAGTTCAGATTTTCATGAAGTTATATACTTTGACATGACAGTTGATTCGACAACACCGTATCTTTATCAAATGTCACATTTGGTTTCTACCTGTCACTAATATGGGAATCAATCATCCGGGACGGTGTTTTTGCCCCTCAAACAATATACAAACAATATACAGAGGTACAGCTACAGAGTGAAATGCGAACCAGTTCCAGTCAAGCTCTGAAGAAGCCAACAGGATGATTCGCGAAACGTCAGCAAGTTCGACTCAGCAAAAACCGACGCAGGAGGAATCTAGAAGTTTTGTAAATCGAAATATAGTAGGTGCCGTAAATATGCAGCTATGGATTTCAGATTTGGCACAGATGTAGATCTATACCCACATTTAAAGTTTAGAAGTTAGACGCAATCAAAAGTCGCGAGTGCTTCTAGAAAAAAATGTTTTTCTTGAAAACTGCTCAGCCGATTGACAAAATTCTCGAACCAGGATACGCAGGAGATTCGGGACTCTAACTCTTATTCTAAGCGTTTTTTCGATTATACACAAGGGCTTTTCAATTATTGACGAAAATCTAAAAGACCCTGAAAATTTTTTATTTCCACAGGAAATTATTAGCCGTAAATCAAAATTCCTAAAAAAATATGGCTAGCTGGTTTACATGGTATTGTAGACCGCATCAATCGGTACAATTTTTGTATTTACTGCTTTCGTCTCTCACATACAAACAAAATATCGTTTACTGATACATTTACTCTTTACTCACGTTTTATTTTATAAGGTAGAATATTAATTTTTTAATTTTCTGATTGTTTTGGCATTGTTTTATTTTTATTTTTTCATGTTTATTCGCCCACTTCAATATTCACATATCATTAAGGAACGCCCCGATCTATTATTACATAGAAAATACGTGAGTCCATCTCTGGGTATGGGCGTACCAGTTTAATTAATAAATGCCAAGCACGACTGATTCTGTCGCTCTTGCGCCCGTGGAATATAATCGTAATCGTTAGTGACGGTTGTCTTGCATTGATCAGATAGACATTTAGGGCGGGACGACATCTATTTAAGTGTAAATGGAAGTTTAAAATTTTTAAGCAAGGCACTTGATAAAACAAAATTCTTAATAAACAAAACACACAACTTTAATTAAATATACTTTTAAAATGATCGTTTCCTGGTATGCCCTGCAAGGAAGTTAATTAGGTGTGTGACTAATAACAATAATGGGCGCAGATAACCTTTATTTCGCTGACAACAAAGCGTAGGTATAGTGTAGTCCGAAATATGCCTGCGACAGCAACGCCCAGATATTTTTAGGTGTTTCACCAGCAGGATCCATTGTTTGCCCGAACGTCTGTCGTTCGTAGTCCGCGTTTACTTCTTTTGTTTTGGACACGCCTCGGATATAAAACGTCACGCTTTCGATTGTTTCCCTCGCACTTTGAGAGTGGAATTTTACGAGCACTTCGTGTACTTTCGGCCCGTAAAAAACATTCACGAAATAAATCCCGTCGCCTCGGAGCGTAATTAAAATGTTGCGACGCGACGACGCTATAAAAACAAATAATTTAGCGTGCAACGGGCTTCGGGATTGGTGCATTAAAATCGGAAAAAGTGACGGTGTCGCGACCTTGGATGGTGAACTCGCGTGGCTGTTGAAGCGGAGGTTGTCATAAAATCACGAGAAGTGAGGTTAGGACGGCTTGCCTAGTAACCAAAGTCAGAACGTGCTACGAAATTACATAAACTTTAGACTGTGAGTTGATCGATCCAGTCGATCCGCGGAGACTTGGTGAACATCTCTAGATATGAGTTTCTTTTTTACAAGTATTCATTTCCGTCTGAAATATGCTGTGATATATATCAAGACCATAGATGTCGTCTGGTTTTCGTCCCTGCTCGACCTAGGGCACCAAAAGCACAATTACGGCAACACCACGATTGGCGTCTGCATTCCGTGGCAATAGAAACCGACGGACATGAGATTATGTGGCGTCACTTTCACCCAGATCTTAATGGATTCCGAATCCGAAAATTCGCTTTTACGTCGTTAATATGTATGGATGGCGCGGAGAAATAAAAGAAAAAAGTTTGTTTCAATCAGTTCTAATTTGACTTAGTGAATACGGCGAGCATGGCGAGTAATCAAAAAATGTTACCTCTAGATGATAAAGTTTCTTCAATTCGGGAGATGGAATGGGGAGAAAACAAAAGTCATGTGGGACGTCGATACGGACTTACACCGTCGACTGTATCCACGATTGGGAAGTGCAAAGAAAAAATCATTCAGGCTGACGCGACCGACAGTTCTAGTAAAAAACTAAGAAAGCCAAAATTTGAAGATTTGGGCAATGTTGCAGTGGTTCCAACAGCAACGTCTTGTTCTCTGGATCTATCGTAAAACTAAAAACAGAAAAGTATAAATTATCTACAGATAAGTGGTGAAGTCCAGGTGAAACTTGGAAATTCAACGCTCCTATCGTCATGCAGTACTTATTACCGAGACAGAATGCGAACAGGACTTGGAAGATGTTCAGCCACTAAGCGAGTGGATAAAGCAGTTTCAAACAACAATTACGCTTGCAAGTGAGGAGTTGCAAGATTTTATGGGGATAGATCAGGATTTGCTTAAAACAGCAGACTTGGCAGAGGAAGCCATATTACAACAACCAAGACAGGGTGAGGAAGAGCGCCAAGAGGAAGAAAAAGATGAAGAAGTTGATATGGGACCGCCACCAACCATTCAACAAGCCCTATATTCAGTTAAGCTGCTAGAGAAATTTTTTATGTATCACGGGGAAGAAATGGTTAAAATACAAACGAAAGTACGCATACTAAAAAAATTCAAAAGAAAATGACCGATTATTTGAAACATTAAATGTAGTTCTTAAATATTTATATAAAATGTTCCTAAGTAGAAGTTAAAATACTTATATAAAATAATTAAATATTACAGAAAACATATGCATATTGTTATTTTTCAAGTGTCTATAACTCTGTATAACGAACACTCTTTATAAAGAAAAAAAAAGCAATTTCGCTACATACAGTTTCGGTTGAATATTAATCTTTTTTATAATTTAGCAAATTGAAAAAGAGTTATTATTTTATTTTTACATTTTATTTATTCGATTTTACCGCTTCTAATGTTTTCTTTGAATT